TTATTTTCCAATTGAACTCCTTTTGAATCTAGATCGTTTTCTTGTATTCGGTGTGCCGCGTATTGTATTTCATTCACCGATAATACATGTTTGCGTGGCGATATCATAAATGAAACACGAAATGCGACGAGCAAAAGCAATAGAGAACCAAACTGGTGGTTTTAATATGAAATAATTTAATAGGGTTCAACGTTACTCAGTCACTCGATTCAAGTGCCCGGGCTCGATTCTTTAACAAGAAAGATAACAAACCATAATTTAACATATATTCATTCTATAAGATATGAAGCTGGCTACGAAATCAAACTCATACTATAAAAAATCAAACTACTCGAACTCGATCTGTGTTTGGTTCGATAAAAGCCCGTGCAAGCTCAACTCCGTTGCTAATTAAACCGAATTCAAACACAATTCCTAAAGTACCATACAAAAATTCAAAACAACATAACAACTACTCAGAATCAACTTTTCCCTAGAATCTTTTAATGAAATTGCAAATCTTTTTATCCAGGCACGCATACTTTAGTCACTAAAATGTGGAACGAAAGAGTGAACCAGCCATTAATAAACCTACGTACTCCAGCAAAGGAGAAAGTACATAGAAATAAATCATCAAGAAACATAGGGCAATCGTTTATCCCTTGTCGGGATATAATAACATAACAGCCAAACAGTGAATACAATAACAATTAGCATTTTCCGGGGAATTTACCAAGCAACCAACGATATATAGTGATCTCACAAGTTATTTCCATGTCTCGACTTAGGACAATCATAGATGACCTAGAACAAATGTAGCAAGCCAGTGTCTTCGTTTATATTTATGTATACCACCATTGAACATATTTTGTGAGACCACATTCGAAAGTTTTTGCCTCAATTTTTTTTATTTTTTTCCACAAAATTACACGTTTATACAAGGGACAATAGGCTGTTTACGGAGTTCTTACGTGAAGTATTTCACTTCGATTGCAGTTTCTCTTTGCCTTAAATCGAACGAAGAAAATAGAGTGGTAAACGATCGGTCGCAATGAAATCAAACATTGAACACATTTTTCAGAGATGATAAAACTCCTAACTTCATATGCATATCATTATGTTAATATATATATACACACGCTACATATATACCTATCATCGAGATATAGAAGTTCCGAAGAGCTAATTTCATCCATTCAATATGCATAATCGTCCCCAATTTCATATTCCCCAATACCTCATTGCACAAAATTAATCTCAGATTACAACAAAACATTCAATCATCGTCATAAAAACACAAATCAGTTCACGAGGAATAATCACAATTCCAATCAGCACCTAGATCAATTTATTCAAAATCCAATTTCGAAACCCTAGAAATTCAAAACCTGATCAGCACGTGGGGTAAGAACGAATTCACAATCCAATCTTCACTCAATTGCTCTCATCTCCGAAAAGGAGGCGCAGCCTAGCGGCGAAAGCTCCGGTCGGCTCGCGAGCGGCTTCGGCTAGGAGGCTCTGTTTGATGTTGTTCATTCTAGAAGTGAGGTTTTCCTGATCTTCCCTCAGTGCGGCGGCGTCCTCGGAGAGGTTGTACATGCGGTACTTCTGGCCGAGCGATCGGCAGCTGAGCAGCAGGATTCCGGTCATCGCGAAGAATTGTGCGAAGCTGTGTTTCCTTTTTATAATATTTTGGACCAAACCAAGAGGCTTACGGCCGCTAGGGTTCCGGACGCCGCCGGCTGCAGACGGTGGCGCTGAGAATGCCATATCTGTGCAAAGACGGAGAGTCAACTGGTCTATGTTGAATTTCGTTTTGTATTGTTTTTGGGCTTTTACTCACAATGAAATATAAGAGTTTGGTCCATTTTCAATATTTGTTGTATACATATTGGGCCATCTTAATGGGCCCAAAAGTTGTACTCGTCTTGAATTGGAAAAAAAAAATATCGCAGTTCATAATTACAATCGTTTATTGTTTAAGCAAAATTACGGTCACCGTTGAGGTAAAGGTTAAATTACGAAAAAAAAAAATTATGTTTGGGTTATTACGATCACCCCCATCAACTCTAAATCTTCTTACACGTCACATTTACGGTGTCAAATTTAGTGGATTCTTCTAAATTATGTGGAATATTATTCAGTTTGTATCTGTTTTACTCCATTCTAACTCCACATTTTGAAACAAGATGAACAAAAGATGTGTTTTTTTGGATTGTGTGTATCAGATTGTGGTGCATCAAAAATTGTATTTTGCACAAAACGAGTACAAACTAGATAATCCATGGAATCTAGAAAATTCTGTTGAATTTGACACCATAAAAATGATCGTGTAAGATGATTCATAGTTGATGAGTAACTGTAATTAAGCAAAAATGAGAGGTTTTTTCGTAACTTGACTTTACCTTAGGGGTTATCATAATTTAACCCTATTTATCTATCAAATTAGACAAGTAGTGGGAAAACTACGATTTCTTATTTTTTACTCAATACAAAATGTAAACAAAATTTTCTAGGGGTATTTGCACTCGGCTCCCCTGTGAAATGTCTAATTGTCAAAAAACCCCCTCGGATAAAAAAATTAGCAAATACCACCCTATGAAAGGAAGTCAATGACAATAAGGACCCTACGAGCGAATCGTGGGATACACTCGCGGTTCATGCAGCTGGGCGTGCGTTTTAGGACATTTTAGGACAGGAAAAGACATAAAAAACCCTTCAAAAAAATCAAAAAAATCAAAAAACCCTGGTTCTGAACCCAGAAGATGGCGTCGAGGGCGTCTTCGAAGGCGGCGGGGAGTTTGTTCTCCGGCGCGAGTCGGTACTCGACGGAGACGACGACGGCGGAAAAGTACTCGGCGATGTCGTTGCAGAAGTTGTGGAAGATGACGGTGGAGGCGCTGAAGAGGACGAAGTCGCCGCCGTGGAGGTAGACGACGAGCGGCAGCTTCTTCTCCCCACGCACCTGCCCCACCACCGGCTCATCTTTCTTTCACCCCGACATTCGCGTAGTACAATTCTCCTCCAATTTCACTATTCCTATGGCAGTGGATCTGCAATTTGAACAAAGACGGTGACGGCGGTGCTCGACGGTCCAGAAGGCGGCGGTGGTGCGAGACAGGCCAGAGAGCGACGGTGGTGCTCGACGGTCCAGAAGGCGGCGGTGGTGCTAGACGGGCGAGAAGGCGGCGGTGATGCCGAAGTTTTTCCGGGCTGGGAGGTGGGCGGCGGAGTGAAACGAAGAAGAAGATCTGAAAAAATCTTCAATTTTTGTCCCTTATTGCAATTTTGGAAATTTTAAAATTTACAATTTGGTCCTATAAATTATAGTTATTTATAATTTGACCACTCGTCAAAGAAATAATTTTTGCTTTATTTTTTATTAAGGACAATTCTGTCATTTCACGTGAGTCAACGAGCCAGTGCACACAAAGGGGCGGTGGGCTGACTAAAACACAACATAGGGGGTTATATGCTAATTTTTTTTTCCGGGGAGTTTTTTGCTTCCGAGAGAGAAATAACACAGGGGGGTCTATGCAATTAACTCTTATTTTCTAATAAAACGTAAATAACAGAGAAACTTGTTTTAGATATTTAAAGCCTTATCACGATAATTTAATCATATGCAAACAAAAAAGGCAAAATTGAAATTATTCACAAATATAAGCGAGGGAAGGTGACATGCCAACAACGTATTTAATAATAAACACTAAAAATACTGCAAGTGATGGTCTACCTGTTGGACCATGTGAGTCTGTGTTAATTGACGTTCGAATTTCCATTTTAATGATCGTTAGATCAAGCTTGTCACATAAATAAAAAATAAATAAAATAAAATAAACACGAAAAAAACTATACTAAAAACAGTACCTAACAGTACCTACTTGCTGGACTGAGACGTATGCAACTTTTGTTCTTTGTGTGATATCAATCCAATAAGAATATAAGATGTACAAAAACGATACTCCCTTTTAAAATAGAAATCACTAATTTAAATAACCGAGCTTTAAATGAATAAATTAATTTTCTATAAATCGTTCTTATATTATAAAACACATTCACTAAATCTCCTCTATTATTTAAAAAGAAAAACTTGCATGAAATCTCATCCCATAAATTTGATTTAGGCTACTTATATTTAAACGCAATAAAATGAAATACATGGGAGTTTGTTGCAGATTTCCTTTAATTTAGCTAGGTGCGTTTTATGTTGTTTACCCCCTTATTTTATTTCATTTATAACTTTATTTATTTATTATGGTTGTCCAGATAAAATTAAATAATTTAATAAAACCTAATTATATTATTGGACTTTCGATGATCCAATGAGAAATATACTTAGAATGCAATATAAGACATGATAACATAATATTTACAGATCCAATCGTTATTTTCTAGAATATCAAACATCAAATAAATAAAGTTCAATTATTTTAGTTGGTCACGGCTAATCTCCCCGACCAAACGAGGGCTATGTATATTAATTTTATCCACACTCAGGAAAAATTGATACATATAAGTAGCTCAAGTACTCAACAACCAAGAATCACCGTTCACAAAACAAACCCCAAAGCAACAAATGGATGCCACCGCTCTCCACTCCACTAAAACCGCCGGAAAGCCCATCAAATGCCGAGGTAAATTTAATACACCTTTTATTTTGTATGCATGTGTGTGTATATTAGAGTACTGTGTGGTGTGTTGGTTCTAGTTTTGTGCGTTTACTGGTCAACTGTGACGGCGGTGCAGCGGCGGTGTCTCGGAAGGCCGGCGAGCCGCTGGTCATAGAGGAAGTGATGGTGGCCCCACCTAATTCCGGCGAAGCCCGCATCAAAATCATATGTACATCTCTCTGTTACAGCGATGTCACTTTCCTCAAATTGAAAGTATGTATAAACCCTCTGTTTTATTTAAAATTAGTATTTCTTTTTTGTGCATTTTTTAATTATTACCTTTGATTTTATGTTCTAAAGGATCCACCAGGATGCTTTCCGAGAATTCTGGGCCACGAAGCTGTCGGGTAAGTTTCGATTTACGAATTTTTCGTATTCATTTTTCGATTCCGTGTTTATGAATTGAAAGTATTGATCAAGGGCTGGAGTTCAAATTTGTCATGCATTGTATTTATTATGCATCATTTGAGTTCAATTAGTTTCTGATAATTACGATTCTAACCTTTTCGATGTTTCTTGCACTTAAAAAAAAGTGTTGTGGAGAGCATAGGCGATGGTGTGAGCGAACTCGTTGAGGGCGATTTCGTCATTCCGATATTTATTCCCGATTGTGCAGAATGCGAAGATTGCACATCCAAGAAGAGCAACCTCTGTTCGAAATTCCCGTTCACCGTTTCTCCATGGATGCACGATGGATCGAGCAGATTCAGTGACCTAAACGGAGATACGCTATACCATTTCTTGTTCGTGTCCAGTTTTGCGGAGTACACGGTTGTGCATGTTGCTAATTTAACCAAAATTGACCAAAGTACCCCTCCGAATCGGGCTTGCCTTCTCAGTTGTGGAGTGTCGACAGGTCTATATAATGAACTCTGCTTCGAGAAATCGAATATGTTTTAAGTTTTCGAATATTTTAATTAGTTTGTTAATTAATTAATTAATTTTTCAGGTGTAGGAGCTGCTTGGAAGTCTGCAAATGTTGAAGCGGGGTCCACAGTTGCGATCTTCGGTCTGGGATCGATAGGATTGGCAGTAAGAATATAGTTTCGTATTTCTATTAATGTGATCTTTTTAATATTTGATGCAATAAAACGAACAAATTTATATTCGAAAGGTGGCCGAAGGGGCAAGATTATGTGGTGCTGCTAAAATCATCGGGATTGACGTAAACCCTGAAAAAATCGAAATAAGTAAGTTCGTTCATGCGATAGTTCTTGTACGAATTATTTTTCTGGACGAATATAATAAAGTTTTTCCTTAATTTGTTAATGTATTAAATTTTATTGTTACGTAGGTAAGAAATTCGGGGTAACAGATTTTGTTGATTCGAAGAACTGCGGTGAAAAACGTGTAAGCCAGGTATTTTTTTCGATTAGTTACGTTCTTAAAAATAATACAATTTTCTTGAAAAATAATTTTAAACTAGTGTTAACTTTTATCTCGTTTGCTTTTTGTGATCGATTTTCAGATCGTAAACGAGATGACTGGTGGAGGAGCAGACTACTGCTTTGAATGTGTCGGGAAGGCGTCTTTGGTCGAGGAAGCATATTCTTGCTGCAGAAAGGTTTCTAAACTAATTTGTCATCAAATTAAACCCTTGATCGAAACATTTCGTCGGGACTAATTTGACCTTTGTGATCCACGCACGTTAAAAAAAAAAAAAAATCTAAATTTGAAAAACCGAACATGATCAAATGAATAGAGTTGTTTGAGGTTTCACATAATTGCATTTAAACTCGGGGTATCTATTGCGATTAGGGATGGGGTAAAACGGTGGTGCTCGGGGTTGACCAGCCAGGCTCAAAGTTGACTTTCAGCTCCCATGAGGTCCTCCACAGAGGAAAAACTCTCATGGGGTCGTTGTTTGGTGGACTGAAACCGAAATCTGATATTCCAATCCTCATTCAACGATACATGGACAAGGTATTCGATTTTTTTTTCGTTTAATCTTGATTTGAGGTTTGATCGGTTTATTTTTGGTATGTATTTAATTTGCAGGAACTTGAACTAGATAAATTTGTGACACATGAGGTTGGGTTTGAGGATATTAACAAAGCTTTTGATTTACTTGTGGTGGGGAAGAGCCTCAGATGTGTGATTTGGATGAACAAATAAATTTCTTTTTTGCTATATATGTATAATAATAATAAATAAATAATGTATCAACTTTTGTTACACAATCAATAATAGATAAAATGTTAATGTTATATATATACGTGATGAGGTGTAATTAGTACATAAATAAATGATCTGCTATTATATAACACTACACCTAATAATTTACACTAGCCTGTGTTTTTTTGCCAACTAATTTGTTAATCCTTAATCACTAATAATTACTACCAATCGTGTGTTATCATGTTCGATTATCTCTGGTTGTCCTAATTAAGAGATAATTAATCATTGTCTGGTGGTTGTCTCCTTGAGCATGACGCAGACCAGGAACTAGATACTCGCCGGATACACGTATCATGTATCGCATCATCGTACATGTACGTTTCAAATTTTTACTATATTGTATTAATTTTTGGAATCCGTTTCTCCTAATAATGTATACGAAATCCTTAACACCTAGTATTAAACTCTTAATTCATCGTATATGATTAATTAAAATTAGCATGTACTATGTAGCACATATTAAGGTAGCCGTACTACTATTATTATGCATTATCAGTTTATGTTTTGAGTGAATTTGCTAAAAAGATAAATTATATGGAATTTTTGCTAGTAAAATAATATATGGATTTTTTTTTGTAATTAGTGTAAACATGGGTGTCGAGTGCAATACATTCTCAGTTTCATCCCTAACATAAATTTTTATAATATATGAATATAAATCATATATTATAAAAAGATTTCTTAAGATTTAAGCACTTGAAAAATGATAATTGAAATTTAATTAATTTACGATTTTCCTTGGTAATTAATTACAGTAGTATTTTCTGTTTCTAGATTCGGGCCCAAGAGTCCAGGTGGCCCAATTTCCTTTCGGCCCAAATACAAACGGAGCGAAAAAGAATAGACTTTGTGAGTTCCAATTATTGAAGTGTAGTATACAACGTATAATTACTCAAGTCAATGATTATTGACGTATAATAAATTAATATGTGATGTATGTAGGAGAATTACACTTTCAGTCCCTAATTTTTGGGCATGTTTACTTTTCGTTTTTGTTGTTTTAAAGCAGACAAAATCCACATTCAAATATCATTTTTTAACACATTTGGTCCATTCCGTTCCACGTTTTTCAGCAACAGAAAATGTCACGTGCAGCGCACATGACCCCCCAATATTACTGAATTAGGGCAAAATGAGGAATAATCACTTTTGGTCCCTAATGTTTGTTCCATTCTTACATTTAGTCCATGTTGTTACACGATGGACAAAATACACGGGATTTCTTTTTTGCACTCAACACCCTTGTGTAATGTCTACTTGCCAAAACGTCCCCATGTATTTAGAAACTATGTGGACAAAAAGTGAAATTGAACTAAACGTCAAGGACCAAAAGTGTATTTTTTTTTCTCTTGAATTTGAGTGGTGAATGCACTTTAATTTATCTCGTATAAAGTATACAACAACGATACAAGATAATTGTGTGAATTGTAGTGATATATGATCCATTAATAGTGTACATATTAACATTTAATTTATATAGGACAATTTAATTTAAATTTAAAAAAAAAAATCTCAATTATCGGTAATGATGTTAAGAAGTGCAACTCTATTCTGAATCAACTGTCTGAATAATCTCTCCAACCCTCCCTCAAACCCTTCGATAACGGCATCAACTTTTTGCAGACCCTTTTGCACCAATTGCACGTCAACCGCCGTCACCCCTCCGTTAGTACCGCTCCTCGTTTTCCCATGCAGACTTCTCAGAGCAAACTCCACACGACCGCCGTTATTTTCTCCGGCAGATTTCCCGGCCATCATCTTCGACACCAAAGACCACCGACTCGCCGGCGGCGGCCCAGACAAGAAAACTAGAATACTCTTGAAAACCGCAACGGTAGCCCCCGTCAGCTCTCCGTTAAGAATATTCACCGGAATATTCTCCAAAGCTTTGAGTTTCTTAAGGCTCTTCGCTACCAGCTTATTCATTCTCTTCCTGCAGCAGAAGTACGCAGCGACGTCGTTTTGGACGGCGGAATATTCCAATAATATTCCCTTTCTCCGCAGTGCTGATTGAAGCGCGTGGATATTCTCCTTCATCATCTGCAAAAGTTCTCTAATAGCGCCGCAAGAATCCAGCAACTGCACGGATCCCGAAAGCGATTCTTCAATTAATTTCTCATCTTGAGAAACTGTAGAGAACTGCACAGAATTGTACAGTTCCGCAAGCCCCACAAGACCAGATTGAATTTCTTCCGACGGAAATGCAGAAACAATCTGACAAGATTTAATCTTTTGTAACTTGGATTCGAAATTTGTTGGATTCAATCTTGACGGCAAACTGATTGATCTTGTGTGTGTTTGTAATTGGGTTGCCATTTTTTTTTTTTCTTTTTCTTGCTAATTTTTTTTTTTTAATTTTTTTTTGGTTGAATTAATTTTTTGAGGTTTTGATGTGTTTATTTATAGTGGGATAATAAGGATTATTTTAATTGAGTTTTGTTGCTTTTTTGGCCATCAAATTTTGGTTGAATGTAATTTAAAATTAAGAGTTATGGCCACGTGGCAATTATAGGGGTGAATTTGAAATGTAGGTTTAATACGTGGCTGTCATGCAAATGTGTAGTAGTAGAGTGACCATACGCCAATAATAGAGTTGCTAGTTGTCTCTCTGCCTCCCTAATCATTGTTGACATTCACCCAACCAATGGGAAAAGAGAAATAAAGTAATTAATAATTGGTGACATAATGCGCTGGCAAGTGACAAATTATATTTAATAATAATTAAATTGAAAAAGGTATGAATTTGTGCACAGTGGCAATTTATTGGAATTATTGGTGACAGTATTTGTCGGATTTGAGGGATTGACAGATACTTCTAGATCTTGGTACAAGTTTCCATAGAATAAAATACGGGAAAATTTCACTTTTCATCCCTCAATTTTCCATTTATTACACATTTGGTCCGCTATGTTCCTAAAAAACACATTTAGTACCTTCATGTTTCAAAAATTCAATATTTTTAGCTCTTTTTGTCAAATTTTCGTTAGTACTAACGGAGTCGAGATTGTGTAATTCACTGTCTTAACTGACGAACTAACCATAAATTGACGAAAAGGATAAAAGGTGTTGAATTGTTAAAACATGAGAAACCAAATGTATGTTTTGTGAATATGGGGACCAAATTTGAAACCGATGAAACCTTAAGGGCTGAAAAATGTATTTCTCCCAATAAAATACTAATGTAATAGTGTAATAAACTCTTGAAATAAGAACTCTAAAACCCATGAATAAGGACACGTCACCAATAATACAGCCCATTAATAACAACCCACTATTTACTAGTAGACGTGGTGGCTATGCCTACGCTCGCCACGTGTCCTCCTTTGTCATAATAATGCCTGCACTTTACGCAACGACATCGTTCCTATGAGTTAAAATCAAGTTAAATATTAGATGATTAAAATAGAAAAAAAAACAAATAAAAAATTGTGCTGGACCAGTTTTTAAATATCAGACCCAGTTTTAAACCCATTGAAATTAGGTTGGGCCAACCCACGACCCGGACCCATTTATAATCATATAATGACCCAGGAGACAAAAATCATAATTAATTAATTAATTATGCTAGAGAATCTGGTTTGTCTCCCAGATTTAAAATGACCCGACCCGTTTACAGTCCTAAATATCCGCCATGCCATAAGCTTAGGTACAGGATTAAACATGAGCATCTTTTCAAAGGCAAGTGTGCCATGTGACCGTACGTACAACGAGAATATTCTTCGCTAATCGAAATTTGCGATCCGTATTTGTACCCTAAAAGTGTCGTAATCCTAGGTTCTCTTGTGGATTAGTAATGCAATTATGCAATGCATTCACACTACAGATTCTAAAAAATAATTATAATTCAAACAAGTTTTTTTTTTTTTTTTTTCTTTTTGAGAAAACCATGATATATTGTATAATTTGTTATGTCAAGATTCAAAAAAGTTTAACGAATATATATACACTAGAGAAGCATTTAATTAAATGAAAGATTTTTGAATCGTTAATGACGTGTAATCAAGTGGTTATAGCGAGTGAACATGGTGTCAAATGTCAATTGACTCGTTCGAATCTCATTGCCAACAATCGCTAAGTCGATCAAGTTTGTCACACATTATTAGTGTAATTTATTTTGAATGAGCTAAATAACACCATATAATATTAAGATATTTTCTGAGACATGTCGATGGATTTCAAAAAAATATCTCCTTTTCATATTTAAATATTTCCTCAAATTCAAATTTCATCAAATCCAAAATTGAAGAAAGGGCTGGATTCAACGTTTCTATATTTATTCTTATAAATATTTGTCGTCTTGTATTGAAAAAATCAATAATAAAACAATGCTATCAAGCTTACATCATCTTTAGATGCTCTTTTCTTCATCAATGTTTTTTTTTAATGGCATCAATATGGCTGTCAAACAAATTGATGATCTAATGGTCAATCTTTCTTCTTTGTTCTTATTCGAGCAATTTATACAATCTCCTCCTCAACAATTGCTCCAGTTACGAATCGAAACCTTTGACTTTGATACCGCTTGCAGAATTCTAGTTTTATATTACATTCACAACACACAAGCGCTCACGGCATTCGATTGTGGACAACCCATACTCGAATATCCCGACGTGGACAAATTGCTGCCAGATCCAGGCTAATATTTCATTTTCTATTTTATTTTTTGTCGAATTTAAAATGTTACGTTCAAGCTTACGATAAACAATCGAGTCAAGATGGAATGAAAATTTTAATCGACTCGAACACAAATCAAACTGAGTAACTTAATTACTATAATTTTCTTTTTCCTCCAATTTATAGTATTCTAGCTCCCGAGTTAAAGAAGAACTTCATAACTTATCGAACAAAACACGCATCAACTTTTGTTGGCTCGAACGAGATATTAATTAACAATCGATATCGATCTCCAACCAAGTACATATCGACTAATTTGGTTTGATTTCCCGCACTAAATAACATTGCTAAAAGTTTGGCTGATTCATCAAAATATACATAGTAGTATCCATTTGATTCACTCAACAAATTGTAATACATATCATTACAAAAAATTGGTTCTTGATCATAAAAAACCTCGATAATTAAATCTCAATGATCATCGGTAAGAATATTTAAAAGTGCAACTCTACTCTGCAACAGCTGCCTAAACAGCTTCTCTAATCCAACTTCAATTCCTTCCACACAAGAATCAAGATTCTGCAAGCTCCTTCGCGCCACCGTCTGCGCATCGAAAATCTTCGAATCTCCATTCTTTACACACACTTGAAGGTTTTTCAGTGCAATATCCACACACCCCACCTCGGTAATAACACTACAATCCGCAGATTTCGCCGCCACCATCAGCCTCGAGACCAGATTCCAGCCGCCGGATTTAACCGCCGGAGAAGACGACAGGTGAACCAGAGCAGACTTGAAGATTGCAATGGTGACGTCATTCACCTCCCTCATAACCCTAGTGAAATCGTCATCATGAATATTTTTTGATGAAGATGCATTATTCTTGAGTGTTCTGAGAGCTTTGGCTATGGATTTGTTCGTCTTTTTTCTGAACGAAAAATACGAAGCGACGTCGTTTTGTATGGTGGGGTCCACGCCGCCCTTGCGGCGGAGTGCTGACTGGAGGGCTTGTGTGTTTTCCTTGATCATCTGAACTAATTCCCTGATGCTGCTGCAAGAATCTAGAATCTCGATAGATTCCTCCAGAGATTCTTCGATTGCTTGATTGCGATGATGCTTGTTGGAAGAGAGTGACTGTTGTTCTTCAATGGAGTTGTAGAGCTCAGCCAATCCCAGGATGCCACGTTGGATTGCTTCCGAGGAAAAAGGAGCAGTTTTTGAAGATCTGAGCTTTTGTAACTCAGATTCAAATCCTGTGGAGTTGATTGGGTGCAGCCTTGATGGCAGGCTTATGGATCTGAGTTGAATTTGCGAAAATGCCATTTTCTTTTATTTTTTTATTATTATTATTTTTTTTGAAATCTTGATTTTGAAGTATGAAGAAGATGATGAAAAAAAATCAGAATTTGAAGACTTGTATTTATAGTGAGACAAAAGCACTGAAGGAATGATTTTTGCATGTGATTAATTGCAATGTGGCTGCCTTTAATTGTTTATTTTATTTTATTTTTTATTATTTTTTAAATTAAGTTTGTTGGGATTGTGAGCATCATCAAACCAGCAAATCCTGTTTTTATTGTATATTTTTATTATATTATTATTATATTATTATTATTATTATTATTTTTTGTTTTATTTAGTGTATACTGTATGGAGCTCATGGCTAACAAGAGAGACAACGTTTCGATGTTTCAATCAACTGTGTGTGGGCAGTCATGCAAATGCATTGAATATTTTGACCAAATACTATATATTTTATTTTTAATTTTTAAATATTAAATGTAATAGAATTTGTTCTTGTCCCTTTGCCTCCCCTAATCATTCATTAGTGTGATTCATTTAACCAAATTTAAATGCCATTTATTATTTTAATGTTTGTGTTTAAAGAATTGGATTTTGCAGACTAATGGCTGCTTAAGGGAGTGCAAAGAACCCAGTCACCTTACTATATCAACAATGTATCAAAGGGTAAATTCCGACCACTCATGAGGTAAACTTAAATTACGAAATTACCCCTCATGTCTCCAACTATGAGACTTCTTGCACGTCAACCCTTCCGGTGTTAAATTCAACAGAGTCTTCTTAATTTTGTGGAATGTTCTATATTTTGTACTTGTTTTGTGCAAAAATACAATTTCAGATGCACTACAATCTGATATTTACAAGTCATGAGACACATCTGATGATCATCTTGTTTCAAAATGTGGACCTTGAATGGAGTAACCGGAGTATATTCCACATAATCTAGAAGATTGCACTAAATTTGACACAGCAAATTACGAATTCATATAAATTTACAAATTTAGATGAATAATTTGTGTAAATAAGCCAAACTATATGTATACTTTATATAATCAACTTGCATATTTTTATTGAAGGAGAAAAGCATATATAGGTGGATAGATCTAGTGTACAACTTTTGAGAGTAGTAGTAGCTAGGGTTGGTTAAATGTTGGAATATGATTAAATTCAAATATGTGTTGGCAAGAGAGGTTGTGTGTTGGGCAGACAAGTAAGCACTTCGAATATATACATGCCATAACATTTTAATTTCAAATGAATTAGAAACTGCAACTTACCAGTTAAAAAAAACTGAATTAATAGCACCAAAAACAGTGTATATCTGTATGTATATAAAGAAATACATACAGAAAAAGTTAGTGGAGAAAAGAGGAAACAAGAAAATAGTATATAGATTTTCTTGATTTTTTGTTAGGACAAATATGTTAAACCTAAGCATGTTACTGTATAGGAGATAAAAAGACATAAAAGAAAAATGGTATGTGCAGAATAGGAAACATGGTGCATGTGTTTGTGAGTTTGTGTAAGGTAATAAATAAAGGCACGAGGCATTTAATCCTGCAAAATTCAGTAGCATAACATGCTACTGTCATAACCCATTTCTCCCAAAAAAAAATAAAAAAAAAATAAAAAATTCACAGACATGGAATCATGTGTGCTGCAAAGATGTAAGATACTATGTTTCTGTATAGGCAAACAGAAGACAAAGAATGGAGAAGATGATATAGTAAAGAAAAAAGACGGTGTTTTTATGATGCATTGAACACATCAAAACTGAGTTTATGCATGCACCTTCGGAATTTTTTGAGACATGTTTGGTAACAGATATAAAAATTACAATCTCTGTTTCGAAAATCGGGTTATGCAACCATATTCTGGGAGGCTCGTGTTATGAAAGTATATGGTCTCAATGAAATTTGCATAAGCTGAAAGTCAACCCTAGGTAAGATAAGTATGCAGTATAGTTTCTTAAGGAACATTTTGGACAATGCAAGTCTTGTTAGTAACAGAATGTAAAAACGACGAAACCAGGATTTCGAGTTTTGATGAGTAAACTGGGTATTTCGTTTCCCTCCAAAATACGCGTATTTTTCAGAAACAATCCGAGAACAGAAAGACTAAAACATAGCTTTTGTGAATGAAGGTCATTTCAACATGACGAACAAATACTAGCGCGGGTAAAAAATTAAACTCCCGATTAAATTCCATACATCCCGAAAAACTGAATTGTACTTCATCCAATATGACTAACTAAATCAAAGTGCAAAAATAGAAAAAAAAATAGAGAAATTAAACGACCCTCGTTATTCCATTTCATATAACCAGAATACAATCGGTTTATCGTTTTAGTACTACTACTTTCATCACCACCCAAATTCTTGCCTAGTCTAAAATTTCAAGATAAATGCGATAGCCATACTTAGGTGCAAACAACATTAAATCAAAAATTAATCATCATCAACAAACAAATACCACTAACTTCGAAAAAAAAGCTCAAAGAACAAGAAAATACCATAAATATATTCTCGTCAAACAACAAGACCTTGTTCTCTAGCTTTCGTCAGCCACTTAAGTGTACTTTCCAAAGTCGAATACGCCGCAACATCCGAAAAACTCTTACTCTCGACCGCATAATCAAAAACCTCGTACGCTTCAAAGACTCTCCCCTTCCTACACAACGCTCTCAAAAGCGTCCCGTAAGACCCTGTTTCCATCTTAATACCATATTTCTTCATCACTTCATACAATTCAAGTCCCTTATCCAAAAGCCTCGCTTTACACAATCCGAGAAGCAGAGTGTTATACGTACATACGTTCGGTTTACAACCCTTCTCTTCCATCTCCGCCAACAACCCTAACGCACCCAACGCGTCCCCTTCTCTACACATACCGTTCATCAACGAAGTGTAGGTAATCTCGTCGGGCGAATAACCCTTTTCGTTCATAACACGTAAAAACTTCTTCGCGTCGCTGACCCTACCTGATTTCGATAAACCGAATACCAAAGTATTGTAAGTGTAGCGATCGGGTTCGACTTTTTCGTCCAGCATTGTCTTGTACACTCCCAACACATCGCTGCCTAGGCTCAGCGTACAATAGCCCTTCATAATTGTATTGTAAACATAGCAATCGGGCTTGAATCCTTCCTCGCTTAGGACCACCAATAGCCTTATCGCCTCCCTTAAATTCTTCGAGTTACAAACGTTATCGATCATGATAGTGTAGGTCACAAGATCGGGCTTGATGTCGAACTTTTTCATTTCGTCGATGAAGCAATTCACCGTGCTTAAAGACCTGTTCTTGACCAAATGCCGCACCATGAAATTGTAGGTATGATCATCGGGCGGTGAATTCTTGGCGCAGAGCTCCTTGACCAATTCGACCGCTTGCTCTTCTCGGCCGGAGGTGCAGAGGGCTCTCACGGCGACATCCGTCGACACGTGATTGGGTGGGAAGCCGCTGTTGGCCATGAGGTTGAGCACGTTGTGCACGGCGGAGAGGGACTGATCGTCGGGGGAGGAGCACGACTGCACGAGGAGGATGTGGTAGGTGAACCGGGTCGGGCAGAAGGCCGGGTGGGTCTTGACCATGTGATTGAGGAACAAGATCGAATCTTGGAGAGACGAAACGGAGGAGAACGACTGCAGGATCGAGTTGTAGAAGCTGGAGTCTGAAGGGATGTTTCTCGCGGTGGAAATCAATTTGTTGAATTGGGATTTCGCCTCTGAGAGATTTGGGGAATCGAAAATTAGTGATGGTAGGGTTTTTCGCGGCGCTGAATCGTTGGTTTTTATGGGGTTTTTGTTGGGGGTTTGTTTCTGGGTTTGCCGATTGGAAATTGGGGGTGGGATTTGTTGTTGCAGAGACGACGACGAAGACGATGAAGAAGAAGAAGTGTTGGGTTTGAGGAGAGTTGATACTGGGTATTGGGCAGCTGCCCTTCTGAACGACTGTGGAATTTTCCCCATTTCCGATTTTTATTTCACTGTCTGTAATTTTTTGGAATCTTGATTTAAGGAAGAAGATGATGCCCGAATTGAGAAGTTTTTGAATTAGGGCTTTTGCAAGGGTTTATTGTTGGAGCTTGGGTTTTGGGCACCCGCAATTTGTTGACTTCCCCTTATTGCCTTGGTTGACTAATTTTTATTTTTATTTTATTTTATTTTTATTTTTTTGTAATATGATTAAATGGTTGAAATTGTAACGACATTACTGAATTTTGCGGTTTCAATTTAAATTCTTCGATATTGAAATCGTATTTTTCATTCTGAAATTAAAATTATTCAAATTTTTCCGAATTATTTTAGCAAGAAACTATGATATTTATAAAAGTTTTCGAATTTTGATTCAATACTAATTTACGAAAATAACTTCAAAAATTATATATAAATATAATTTTTTTCTCCAAAAGAGCACATTTATAATATAAATATTTTGCATTTTAAAGTTACATGTATAAAAGAATTAGAATATTCAAATTTCCACCAATTACGAACACATTTCTATTTTATTGTCATCTCCATTTCAATTTACGATATTCATTCTAGGTTGATTCAGTTCTCAACCAACTAGTTATGAAACCATATATACTTGTATTATCAATATCTTTTAGGACATTGAATCCACAAAATGCCCCCGTAAAATAACCGACAGGCGTATCTTCGGTTGTCTTAAACGCACCAAAATGCCTTAACCGGTAACCTCCTTCGGCACTTCCCACTCAACCGTAGCATCTCGATAATACGACCGTCCCACTTAAAGTAAACACAAAAATCATCCATCATCATAAGCAGAGAAATCCATTGTTGATCACATCGATCTCCACCGCAGCAAATGTTCCTTCGGTCAGCAGATCGTACCTCGGATTCACACTCTCCAAAATTTAGCTTTTATATTTTCAAGATTTTTATCTTTTATAATATATACCTCACAATTAAAGCTGCGGCTTGAATTCTTCGAAAGTAGCAACGCGCTGTGAGTAAGTGTTTGTTATTACGCCTGCTATAACGACTTATGTTTCGTTGCTGATCAATTCTCCGTTTCCGTTGCTAATTAGTCTTCTACCGGCCATAGTTCGTGAACTCTGCCTATATATTTTCTTAAGCAGATTGAAATAGAAAATTGAAAGTTTGGCAAATTAGCGGATTCTAGATATGTACATACCTCCTGGCACAAATAGTAAGACTAATTTAGTAATTTTCCCAACCTGACCATTTGAATTGGCACAATTATATTGTTGACAAAGCCCTGAGTGCTGCGGGGCAAGTTTTCACCACCTTACTTCCATCCAACACAACTTCTATATCCGTAAAATTCAAATAAATTAACTGATAATGGATTTTTCCACCTCAGCAGACGTAAATATATCAACAGTTCTCTCGAATTGCCTCTCTCCGGTGATTTTAGTGCTCAAAATTTCCAGTTATCAAATAAGTTACGTACTGCAAATATCCACATGGACGGGCATGCGTGTGAGTGCCACTTATCGCAACGTAATCCTCGTTGTACATCTCTGCATACCTTAAAATTCATAGGGTAAATTACAAACACCCCCCTGAGGTATGATGAAATTACAAAAACACCCCTCTTGTTTGGATAATTACAACCACCCCCTCAACTCCTCAAATTTAGTGGAATCTTCGAGATTATATGGAATATTATCACATTTGTACCCGTTTTATCCCATTCAAACTCTACATTATGAAGCAAGATGATCATAATATGTGATTTTTAGCTTGTATATATCAGTTTGTGGTGCATCAGAAACTGTATTTTTACACAAAACGAATACAAACTAGAGCACATTTCACGGAATCTAGATGATTATGTTGAATTTGGCACCATAAGGGTGGAGGTGTAAGAAAAAATCATAGTTGAAGGGGGTAGATGTAATTATCCAAACAAGAGGGGTTTTTTTGTAATTTGACCATACCTCAGGGGGGTGTTTGTAATTTACCCAAATTCATAAGACAATATCTGTTGTGCCAAAGGATTTTCACTTATTGAATACCTTAAAAAAATTAAATTATTGTAACATGAGGGATCAAATGTGTTTTTTATGAACATTAGGAATCAAATAAGAAATCAGTAAAAACTTGAGGGATGAAAGTTGTAATATTCCCTTTCCAATTGGGAAAAATACAGTTTGGGTCTCTCAAGTTTTCACTGATTTCACATTTGGTCCACATGTTCACAAAAAACACATTTGGTCTTTCACAGGGGCGGACCCAGGGGGGTTTTCTTGGGGGGGCTGAAATATATGGGTAATTTAAGAAAGGAATGTTTTTTTGTTTTTAGGACTAAAGTGTACAAAATTAAAAGTTTGGAGGGCGAAAGTGCATTAACTAATACATAAATACCCAAGAAAAAAAAAAAAAAAAAAAAACAGCTTAAATTTTTTTTCTTGGGGGGGCGGGGGCCAACCCAGCCACAAGCTTGGGTACGCCCATGGTCTCTCATGTTTCAAAAGTTCAACACTTTTAGTCATTTCCGTCTATTTTTCTTTCGGGAAATTACAGTTTTCACAACTCAAGTTTGCACCGGTTTCATATTTGGTCCCTCATGTTCACAAAAAACACACTTGGTTGCTCATGTTCCAATAAGTTAACACTTTTGGTCATTTCCGTCAATTTACCGTTAGTCCGTTAGTTAAGGCAGTGATGGGCACACGCTTGATTCCGTTAGTTTTAACGAAAAATTGACGGAAATGACTAAAAGTGTTGAAGTTTTGAAATACAAATGACCAAATGTGTTTTTTGTGAACAAGTGGGACCAAATGTGTAATCAGTGCAAACTTGAGGGGTGAAAACTATAATATTTCATTTTCCAATTTCATAATAATTGATATTCATCAATAAATATATTTAGCAATGTTATTAGAACCGGACCGGACACAAAACCGGTTAGACATTTGGGTCACAGTTGGACCGGTTCAACCGGGTTCGACCCGGGTTTTTTAATTTTTCAAAATTAAAATTATTTTATTAATTTTGATATTTTAAATTTATTTTTTCATATATTTTTTTTATCTTTCACACTTTTTTCACCTTTATTTATATATAATTTATTTCATTTATTATTCCCCACATCAATTTTTTCTTATATATTTTTTATATTTATTTTTTATCTCTCCTCTAGGGGTGGGAACGAGCCGAGCTCGGCTCTTTTGGCCAGCTCGAGCTCGAGCTCGAGTCCATGTTGCCGAGCTCGAGCTCATCGAGCCAATTTTTTTTGGCTCGAGCTCGAGCTTGAGCTGAGGCTTATTTAATTTTTATTTTATTTTATTTATTATTATTTAATTTTTTTATTAAAATCATTTTATTTTTTATTAAAAATTATTCATAGGAAAATAAAAAAAAAATTATAAAATAAATAATGAACTCTAGTTATATATATTTTTTTATTTTTTCTATTATTATTATTATAATATTTTATATTATTATGAATTATTTAAGTTATACAGATTTGTTTATATTTAAATACTAGATATATTTATTATTATAGACTACTATTTAGTTAATAATAATAATAATAATAATAATAATAATAATAATAATAATAATAATAAGAATAAGAATAATATATATATATATATATATATATATATATAAAGGCAGCTCGCGAGCCGGCTCGCGAGCTGCCGAACAACTAATTTTGGGCTCGAGTTCGAGCTTTTTTCGAGCCGGCTCGTCGAGTTCGCGAGCCGGCTCGGCTCGTTTACCACCCCTACTCTCCTCTCTCTATCTTCTCTTATCTCATCACCTTCTCCAAACTTCATCCCGTCTCTCTCCCTTTTCCTTTTACTTTTTCCTCTCTTTTTTTCATCTTCTTTTTCTCCCAGCGCAATCGAGCAGACAATTTCGAGTCACCCACAAGCAAATCCCTCTAATTCCGGTCACCCACAGTCAGATTTGTCGAATTCCGGCCACCCACAGTCTTCTTCAACCAAATCCGACCACCCCCAGTGAATTACGCTCCGGTTCCACCACCAACAGCCGCCGACGAAGTGTTTCAGATGAAAACCCGGGTCGTTGACCTGTTTCCGGGTTCACCGGTTTTCGCCGGTCGAACCGGATTTTTTGGCATTTGACCCGGGTTCTCGATTTTTCCGGTTTTGGACATCAAACCGGACCGCTTTTGTGCCGGGTCGCGGTCGGACCGGTCCGACCGGCCGGTCCGGTCCGGTTCCGATAACATTGATATTTAGTCAAATAAATATTGTGGTCCATTATATTGAATTTATAAATATAAATGCCAATTAAAATTACCCTGGCCAGTCTGATATATCGTAGCTTAACGCAAATAGCCAAATGCAAAATGGCCCCTCACCCCCACACCTTAACAATTATTGTTATTTATTTATTTATTTATTAGGAAAAACAATTATTGATGTAGATTTTTTTTGACTATCATCCACCAAATAAATAACAATAATATCCACCCAGAAAAGAACATGGTAGCATTATTTTTATATAAATAATATAATTGAAAAGGAAGTGGTTTCGGTTACGTAATTCAATTCTATAATCCTTAATCATATAATATACATTTTTATATTCAATCATTTTCAGAAATGTCATCATGCAAAAACACCTTTTAATTAGGCCTAATTTTTAACTAATTAAAACTCTGCTGTTTTAGGATATATCAAAGCTAACTTAATTAATACATCTAAGCCAACTTAATTAATTCTAAGACGTGTATCTTAAATTGGCCAGAAAGGTAAGAATCCATCAACTATATGTGTAGTTTCTTTGATAAGGTATAAACTACTTAACTAAGCAAGGAATCAATTCATTCAAAAGTTATCAAAACTTTCTCCCAAAAAAAATATTAATAAATAAAAATAACATTATCGAAACAACAAAATAATCACGTAAACAAACTTCGGTTTATGGATCATATAATAAGCGCGTACGTACAAATTATTAATAGCAAAACAACATTCGAAAAGAAAGAGACGAATAAATTAGAGAGTTGATTTATTAAGGAAAGTGTTATTGAGATATGTAATGAAATTATAAATCTTTATGACAATATAAACTTTGAAGGATAATGTGTCGAAATACGTATGTTACTTAATTGTATTAGTTATTTAATTAACTGTATTAGTTATTTAATTAAAGACATACACATATTTTCCTTCTGAAACAAATTTTTCGTATTTATATCAAAAAAATCACTTAAACGAACTTAATTCGGCTTATGGGTATACAATAAGCAAGTCGAAATTAATAATAGCAAAATGGAACATTATATCAAAACAGCAAAATAAACACCGAAACAAATTCGATTCATGCGTATAATATAAGTACATATACAAATACAAGCACTTGCATATATTATTTTCCAACCAAATAAAAACCCAAAATAAATTAAAATAAAGAACACAAGAAAAAAAGAAAGTGAAAGCACACATCCAACAAAGCCACCACAAACAGCATAATAACGACACTTTCAAAAGCACAAATCAATAATGAAATTACAGCGCAAAAACAAACATTTTTATTTAACTTTTAAATAATTATTTAGCAGTCCACTTCCTTTTCCTTTATTTCTTTCTTCTCTTTCTCTTTCTCTTCCTCGCTCTTGGGGTGGTACCCGGGAATCTTCTCCTTAATCTTTTCCAAGAACCCCTTCTTTTCTTTGCCCTCGTGGCCCTCCGGTGTGGTGGCGCACTCCTCCGCCACCGGCACCGGCGGCGGAACAACCACCACCACCTCCTCGGTCTTCTTGCCACCTGGAAGCTTCTCCTTGATCTTTTCTAGAAACCCTTTCTTCTCCTCGTGTTCGTAGGAAGTCGGAACGACGTCGTCGTACTTCTCAACCGGTACGGAAGTGGTGTCTTCACACTTTACTTCTTCTTCCTTTTTTTCTCCGAAGATCTTTTCCTTCAAACCCTTCTTCTTCTTCCTCTTGATCTTCTCGCCATTCTCCTCCACTTCTTCCTCACTCGACTGCATTAATTATTTATTTTACCAACACAAATATATATTAGTAAAAAAAATCAAATATTAATATTATGATACAGTTAAACAACCTTTAATAATTAATAGAGTCCAAAATTTTATTGATTTTAGCGAAATATTAAATTATCGAACATATATAATAAGTATCCTAGCTAGCTCTACCATATCTTTTTTTTCATTTCTTCTGGAACGATCACAAACACTTTTTGATTATGGATCTACTACCAGAAATTCAATACCTATTAATATGTTTTTATTGGAGGTCGGACCAAGAGAAATTATTAATTTATCGAGGTTCTACTACTGTATATAAGTTTGATGGACTTACGGAGCTGCTAGAGCTGTCGCTGCGGTGGAGTTTCTCGAGGAGACTGACGTGCTTCTTCTCCTCCTCCGGCACCACCTTCTCTTCTTCGCAGACCTGGACTTTCTCTTCGAAGGCGGCGGCGATCACAACCTCCTCCTCGCACTTCTCCTCCTCCTCCTCCTTTTTCTTCCCCATGAAACCGAACAAGCCGCGGTCGGTGCTTGTCGCCTCCGCCTCCGTCGTGTAATCCTCAGCCTTAGGGGAGACAACGCGAGCGGTGGCAACGGGAGCTTCGCATGGCTCATCGACGACGGCGGCGGCGGCGGTGACGGGAGCTTCGCATGGCTCATCGACGACGACCTTGGTCTCGTGGTGGTAGTCGGCCATTACTATCGAATTTAAATCGGAATTAATTTAAAACTGAATGAGTTTATAATTAAACTTGAAAAGATGATCGAACTTGTTGATAGTGTGTTAATAATATGAGAATTGAGAACTGAGTGGTTAGAAGATAATAGTGTGAGGGGTTTATATAGGAAGTAGACGCGCATTAGACGCGAGATTGTCTTAATTTTATTATTATATTATTATTATTATTAAAAAGCCAATCAACTGCTCCACTTTGCTGACGTGTCATCATTTTTCTTTTTTCTTTTTTTTTGAATATATTTATTTAATTTAAGGGTGCAAATTTAGATCGGATGACCTGTTTTAATAGGAAAATCGGATGCCATAGGATGATTGACACGTGTATAGTTTATAAAAAATATAATTAGAATTCTAATAATTCAAAAAGAAAAAAGAAAAAGAAAAAGAAAAAGAAATCCCCTGCATAACACGTAACATCTCTAACTCTAATCTAATTATAATACGTTGATTTAATAAGAGTGAAAACTTAAAAGTGTCACGTGTAAAAAAATTTAGTAGAATTTGATTTATATTAAATATCGGCTCATCCGCTCATCATTTAATCTCTTAATTTAATATTGACATGAGAAATTGAAATTGAAATTGGGTTACTTTGGATCTCGAATTCAATCGATTAGGCCAAATTTGCGGGGCGACGTGTCGTCTTTGTATTATATTTATTTATTATTATTTAGATGCTAAATAATGTCCAATTGTTTATTGCAAATTGGATTATTATATTGAACTTTACCAAAAAAGTTGATAAATTATGTTATCTAGCAATTAAACAATATGCCTTCATCGTATAATAATTATGATATATTCAATTGGATATAGAATATTATTATATTTTCCAAGGTTATTAGATATTTTATTTTAATGTTCTAGTATACTTGATTTGGATTATGTTCTTAGTGTGTAACGAGCATTGTTGGGACTGGACCGACTATAGAACCGCACAATCATTTCGGTCATGGTCAAATAGAGTCGAACAATTTTACGTGGTCGAATCGGTTTTGATCATTTTAATTCTATTTTTTTTATTTTTTGTGTTTTAGATGTCATATCGAACCGTCTCATCGTAGAACCGTGGTCGAACCGATCAGATTTTGACAACATTGGTAATAAGTATGTAATATATTTGAACTCATCTAATTATGTAGTGATATAGCGCATTCTCGACCGCAATGAATGATCAAGTTGGTGAATAAAACAATGTGACGTCGATTAGCTCGAGTTCGAACTATTTTACCAATAACTAATCTAGTTTAATTTACATAAGATATTTTATATTGTGTATATAATGATTCAAGAGTGATATAAAATATCTTTTTTGGACTCTTCCTTACCGCATAAATTTCATAAAAGAAAAATAGAAATTGAACTACAAGAGCGTTTCCTTTTATTGCACTTATAAATTAAGAGATTAAATTTTGAGCGGATCAGCCGATATTTAATATAAATCGGATTCCACTAATATTTTGACACGTGGCACTCTTAAGTCTTAACTCTTAATAAAAGGGCTACGGGTTATGCTAGGGTTTTCTTTTTCCTTTTCTTTTTCAGGTTATTAGAATCCTAATTATATTTTTATTTAAACTATCCACGTGTCAATCATCCTATGACATCCCCATCCGGTCTAAATTTGCACCCATAAATTAATATATTCCTATTCCATTCTGTAAATTAAATTTATAATATAAATTTTATGAATATTAATACCAAATACAAAAAACAATAGTTCAAGAAAATTTAATCACAAAAATATCTCAAAGCAAAGGAAAAATAAAATATTCATTATTCAGTATTAAATCATAAAAGCCAAGTGTCACGCACTTGCAAAGCAGAAGCTGAGCCGACATAAGGAAATTTATTAATTAAAGAGGAAAACAAAATAATATACAGTAAGAGTAAAAGTGAAAAGGACACGCACTCTGGCAAACGGAGACGCAAGCATAGGCGAATCATAGACAACCACGTGGCGAGAAGACGTGGGCAGTACACGTGGGGGCCAAAGAGTGTCGGCGGTCCATTGAACAAAGTCATCAAAACAAAGGCGAATGGGCGGTGAGCAAGTGGCCAGAAATAATTCAACCTGCCACGTGGCTGTACAGTGGGCCCCTCTCGATTCTCGAGATCTTCAAAGGTCGGCATCTGGTGCAGCGCTGGTGTACGGTATGTCTCGATTTTCATCAATTCATTGGCTTGCTGTCTGGGCCCGCCACGTAGGGTAAGAGGGCCGGTTTCGCTTTGTTGGATTCTTTTGAAATAATGATGATGGTTAGGGTGTAAAGTAACTAGGTGAATGCATAGTTTATTAATTTTGTTTGAATTTTTGTATCAAGCTTTTAATTTTGAAATCGAATATTAATGGAACCAAAAGAAAGAAATAATAAAAAAATGAATTTCATTTAGGGGGCGGCCCCCCGATAGTTACAGCCAGTCAGTGGCGAATCCAGGATTTTTGCCAAGGGTGTTCGGATTAAATATAGTAAAAAATATGATGGTTGGGTAAAAGTTTACGGGGGTTCGGGGGCAGCGCCCCCGATTTTTTTTTAATACTATAAACATTAAATAATAAAAATATGTAATATTTTCAAATTTAAAGGGATTATTTTACAAATTTTGGACTAATTTAAGAAATATTTAGACATAAAATTGGTGAAAATATTGAAGGAGTGGTAAACATATTAAAGTTGCAAGTAACAAAATATGTAATTCATTAGCAGATTTTGAATTTTTAAAATATAAAAAAAATGCCCACATAGTTGTAAATTTAGAAAATAATTGAAATAATATATATATATATATATATATATATATATATATATATATATATATATATATATATATATATATATATATATATAACATTAAGAATTTTTGAATAATTTAGATTATATAAAATATTCAAAAATATCCACATATTCAAAAAATTGAAAACAATTGAAATATTGTATGTAATGAAAATTAAATCTTGTTCCTTTTAAAAACTTTCTACCAATTAACTACAAGCCAATTTATTTACAGAAGATTTGGAATTTAAAAAGGAGTATATACATAAAAAATAGAAAAAAAAAAAAAGCCAACATATTAGGGGTCTCTGACTCTGGTAAGCTGTATTAATTTTTACTAAATTTCAATTTAACCCCTCATTAGTTATAAATATAAAAAAAAACCCCAAAATATTATATATAATTTTTTTTTTTTTTTAAATCCAAGGGTGTGCAACTGCACACCCTAGGACTATGGTAGATACGCCACTGCAGCCAGTGATTATTTAGTTTGATTTTAAAAAAATGACGATGGTTTCTTTTAGGAGTCTGAACAAGTTCGAGCTCGTCAAATATTGTTTACTCAAACTCGAGCTCGAGTCCATTTGTCGAGCTCGAGCTCGAGCTCAAACTCATTTTGGATTTCTACTTATTTATTTATTATTATTAAAAATTATGTTGATTATATTAAAAAAATTACAAAATAAACAATAAACTGTAATCATGTATATATTTTTTAATATTTATATGTTCTTTTGATATTATTTCCATCATATTTTATATTATTATACATTATTTAAATTAATATATCTATATATATATATATATATATATATATAAACAAAATAAGACTCGTGAGTCGGTTCATAAGTTCACGTACAACTAAAAAAATCTCGAGCTCGACTCGTCAGAAAGTTCACGAAATCGAGATCGAGCTCGAGTTCGAATTTTTTTCGAGCCAGCTCATCGAGCTCACGCGCTCGTCTACCAACATCTAGTTTCTTTGGTTTGATGGTTTAAAATATTAATAATAGTTTTGCCGTGTGAGGGGTGCACGTGCGATGGGGTGAGGTGGGGCTGGCGGCACGTGAAATTATTCAAGGAGGGTAATCAAGTTTGGCTAGAATTGGGGTGTAAAGTGAACGCTAATGGAGGTCTTATCTGTCACAATTCTGAATTTATTTTTCGTTTGGAAATTTCTAGTGTGGGGTTTTGTATAATATATTGATGATAAGATCGACAAATGCTAGAGTCTATATTAGACTACTCATTTTCTTGTGATATTTTGTTATGAGATATTTTTAAAGTAAATCGAGCTCTTCTATTTTGGAAAACTCGAACTCGACGAATTGAGATTTTCTGACTCGAGCTCGAACTCGGATAAGCATCGGTGAATTCGAACTCGAGCTCGAACTCGGCTCGAGTTTTAAAAATAATTAGCTCATTAATAAAAACAATACTATTTTTTCATAGTAATAATAATAAGTTTATTGTATCATATATAAAATAATAAGAAGCTCGTGAGCCGGCTTGCAAGTTGTCTAATAACTAAAATCGAGCTCAAGTTCGAGCTCGAACAACCCCAACTTGAATTCGAGCTTTTGTCGAGTCTGCAATCCAGCTCAGCTCGTTTACCACCCCTACCATATATTACTTTAATTGTTCAAAAACAGAAAAAAGAAAAAGAAAAAGAAAATTCTACTTCGCAATCTACAATGGCTAAACATCTTGTTTAGTCCAAGAGTACTCGTTTATAGAAAGGAGAGCTGTACATCACAAACAACAAGATTCATTCAATAAAACCAATGCTTCGGTAAATTATATTTATTTATTTATATGGGTAAATTACAAACACCCCCTGAGGTATGGTCAAATTACAAAAAATTCCCTCTTGTTTGGATAATTACATCTACCCCCCTCAACTATGATTTTTTCTTAGACCTCCACCTTTATGGTGCCAAATTCAACATACTCATCTAGATTCCGTGAAATGTGATCTAGTTTGTACTCTTTTTGTGTAAAAAATACAGTTTTCGATGCACCACAAACTGATATATACAAGCTAAAAATCACATATTATGATCATCTTGCTTCGTAATGTAGTGTTTGAATGGGATAAAACGGGTACAAAAGTGATAATATTCCATATAATCTCGAAGATTCCACTAAATTTGATGAGTTGAGGGGGGTGGTTGTAATTATTCAAACAAGATGGGTGTTTTTGTAATTTGACCATACCTCAGGGGGTGTTTGTAATTTACCCTTATTTATATTTTTGTTGTTCCCGATGTATAAGCAACCGACGACGATTTAATCTAAACGATCGATGTTACGATTACAATTTAGCAACTCTTAATATTATATAAATATGATTGCAT